GTCTTCCAGTAATGAAGTAAAGATCTGGCCTCGATAGTCGCGCCAGCCACAGCATCTTCATAAGAATGCGTGCGGCTACACCGCTAAGCTCTCCTTCTACAGCTAGATCCTCGTCAGATATACTAGCTTCTGAGAGACAAGGCGTGGGTACTTTACGCAACTTCTTTTGCTCTAAACCAGACAACTCCAAGTACAACTCAACTACCTGTTCGGCATAAGCACGCATGTCAAGAGTAAGAGTTGTATGACTCGGACTGCGGTGAATCGTGTGATTTCTGCCAAGAACCCTGGCCCCATCTTCAATCTTGGTTTCCGGCTCAATCTTGATTAGTTTGCGCAGTTGATCCCAGAATCTCTGGTGAAGATCTGCCTTCCCGGCAAGACTCAAATCATCAACGTAAATATTCAAGACTAAGAGCTCACCCTGAAACCAAAACAACCAATTTGGAGGATGTCCTGGGACCTCTTCGCCTCCTATCGACCGTAACTTCTCTGCAAGATGTTCTTGCCACAACTTTCCGGCAAGTGGATGCCCGTAGAGGCTCCGCATCAGTTTTACGGCAATCTTGGCGTTTGGATCAAACTTCTCCTTCATCTCTGTGGTCCAGAGTTCGTAAGGCAAAATAACCAACGTGTCTTCCTCGAGCTCTGCTTGAAGAAATGCTTGGATCGCGTCACTAAAAGTAAGGGTTGAACCTTTTCTACACCCAAACCAAAACGTTAAGTTGAGCGACGTAAGCGCAGTGGGCGATGTCGCTGTGTCATCAAACAAGACGATGTTATGTGATGCGTCCGTTACATAATCACCACGGTACACGATTCTACCTTTCCACTTTTGTTGGTGTGGTTCCAACTCTATATGCTTAACACCACACAAGGTAAGCAACTCTGCCACTTTAATCTTTCGATTCTGGGCTCTTGCTTGACTCCGAAGACTAGTCAGAAGGATAGCTGAGGAATCATCCCAGGTGTTGTTGGCCCTGAGTCCGTCAGCCTCCTTTTGTACTGCCTGTAAGCCCCTCGGGTCTTGCATCCAAACCTTTCGTGGCAAGTTTTGAGTTACCATACCATATGCACCTGTCATGTGCGGCACGCTTTTGAATGCATGCGATGGAAAGAGAGCCTCTGCAACAACTTTGGCGAACTTGATCGGACTTGCATCCTCACATGCCTGATGTGCGTGGCTACAGTGCTCATGCGCATGACTGCCGTCACACTGGTACTGAGACAGGTACTGTATGAGGTTCAGACTATTGGTCGAAACACACAGTGGATGATGCTCGGGATAATGGTCACCCTCAAAACCGAGCATACACCCATCGAAGGATACACACTTCAGGCAGTTGGTTGACTCAAAATCTTTCCAAAGCTTGTGATTCCACGCATACGCTTTCTGGGGTCCTTCTACGGCTATCCTGCCATGGTTGTCAAGACAGGTTTGCAACAGTGGCAATGTTCGACGCAAAGAATCCTCGACTCCCTTGCGATGTGCTTTATGCTTGCCTTTGTGATGTTCAACAAAGGATAAGTTAACCCAAAGGTCAGAGCCCTTTAGATGTTGAAGCTGTCCCAAAACCTGATCAACATGATCTTTGTTTGTCGGGTCAACTACATCGGAGGATAACTTTATGCACTTAGCGCCTATCTCACTGACGGCTTGTGCAACCTTTGAATCCACACGGCCAGCATACTCTAACAGCACATTCATGCCTGGCATTTCTGTCAATGTTGCAATGTGCCTCGCGTGATTCATCACTGAGTGCCGTTCAAGGAACTTTGTATCAATGTCATCAACAATCTTACCAACAGCACCTTGCTCAACGTGTTCAGCGCTCGCGGCCTCTTCATGTGACCCCCCTGGATCTGCATTCTCCGTGGCTCGGGGGGGCCAACTGGATCAGCAGACGCTACAGGTGGTGTCTTAGGAGCTTTGGCAATTCTGTCGACGCGAATCAACGCATTGAATCTAGCCCTACAAAGCGGCGTATGTTTTGTTGATTCGAATTCGCATCCTCGGCACCCCGGCGTGGCACCGAATTTGAAAACTCTATCCATGGTAATATACTCATTGTGCGTCCGTGGCGTTGTTACGCCATCAATCGCAGCAAACGGTATGTCTAAAGGTTGCATGTCATCTAGCTTTGGCTGATCAAAGTTTGCTAACGCAGTTTCGGCAGCACGCTTCAAAGGAAGTTGTGGTGGCTGTTTGTCGTCAACCCAAACCTCCTCAGTAGGAACAGCTATGGGGAGTGCATAACCGGGAGTGCGATTCTTAACCTTTTGGTAATCCAGAACATACAACACCCCTTTAAAGCTCTTTGGGCCCGAATCGTATCTAAACCCAGCGAACAAACCCGGATTCGTTGAAGGAGCTATCTTATCCCTCAATGTAGGGTCAACACGATAATGCACGAGCTGTCCTAACAGAAGCTTGCGTCCAGTAAACTCCGTGCCAACTGCGAGGCAGTGGCGAGTCTGATCTTTGCCAGCAGCAATGTGCTTTGCAGATAACATTGTAGCCGCGTAGTCTACACTTAACGGCCATAAGTCCGGAACGACCTCGAAACCAGCACCTAAGTGCGTAGCTCTCGCGATCTCTTCAATTGTTCGAATGTCTCGTTCAAGCTGTGAATTATGGGGAAAACGATTTCCAAGCGTACCCTCATGTATGAAGCCCAAACGCTTACATGCAGCCAGAATCTCAGCTGCTTGATCGGATTTGCACATGATGGTTGTTCGATCATCATATGCTGGGCCTAAGAACAACAGAAGGTTTCGGGAAACCGAATCCGTGTCCCTTTTTGCAATCGGATATGCTCTAATCCACCCTGAAAACTCATCGCGCACTACTTGGACTGCATTTTCTTTGCCGTCCTTAAGCTTTCTTACAATGATGAAGTCAGTGGCGATCCGTTCCCCAAATTATGTGTCACCTCGGGCAGCATCCCTCGGTCTGCGAGTGGGTCCGCGCGTTTCGATGTGACTCGCTTGCGATACATTCTACTCCTTTGGCATGTGGGGCATGCCGGGTTCTTTGGAAAATGGGACAATCTATGCTATGCTCAAGACTCTGCGCTTCTTTTACAAGTCTCCGACGCCTAGAAAGCCTATCCTCTTCGCCTGACTCTCTCTCTGAATCTGCCAGCCCTCCATCACCTGGTGGCTTTGCCGGTGGCGGCGGCACAATTTGATCGGAATCTTCTTCGGGAGCCTTTGGTTCCTCTACTTCTACGGTCGGGTCGGGATCCCTAGATCCTGCGGCTGATGAGCTAGGGACTCCAGGATCATAGAAGATTTCACGTGATCCCGAATCAAAAGTGATTGGTTTTGAAGTCTTCGACGCCCGGGCTGAGTCATGCATCAACTTCTTCTGGGCCGGCATTGCGAACTGAACTTCTTCGGAAAAGATCGGTACATTACCTTCTACCCTAGCTGCCTTATGAATCCGTGTGTTATCAGCTGCTAGCTGTATTGCGTCCTGGGGCGCAAAGTACGGTAATTCACCTGGCATCCAAATGAAGGCATAACCTTGAGTGACGAGTTCGCCCATACTCCGAACAGTGGGGCAGCTATTCAGCACGTAGCTTTTGTGATGCCCAAAGATAGCTCCAACAGTGTTGAAGGTGCTATTGCTTTCAGTCCTACCGTTACCCGTTTCAAATGATACTGGCTCATCCTCGTGACATACTAGGTCATCAGGATAAACACCCTGAGCCCTCAACGACTCAAAAGAGGTCAAGCTTCGACCTGCACCAGAATCCGCTATCCAATCAAGCTTATAGCTATGACCCGAAGCCCTTTGAACCCCGGCTGGTAACGAAAGGATGGCAGGCGCTGCGAGGGATTGCGATGTCCAAGCTTCATGTGCAATCGCAGAAAAGTCAGGACAGACAAAGGTGGCAAGTGTAGCAAGCGCTTTGCAAACGGCGTTGAAACCGATACGCAACGGGCTATTGCGGGAATCACGAGTGGCGGATTTGCCAACACGTCTTGCACTTTCGATAGCTCTCCCTGCGGCCGTTGTTGGGAGTAGCAATGCTACCGCGGCTGATGAAGTAGAAGCTCCTTTGGACTTCCCGTTCCCCCTGTCTCATGTGAAAATGGACAGTCTTTGCCTCGGTTGCATGTTCCTTTTGAGAAGAACACACATGGTACGGTAGCTTTAGCCTTAGCGCTTGCATCCGCCTTTGGCGGGGGACCCTTTGGATCGCCTTTTCCTTTTCCTTTACCTTTGCCTTTATCCTCACCGGATCCATCACCCTTGGCTCCACCCTTAGCCTTAGCCTTGGATTTAGCCTTAGCCTTACCTTTTGGTGTCCCTTTGGGAGGCTTTCCGGGCGCTGCTGGAACGGCGGTGTCCTTTGCGGGAACTGCTGTTGCAATCGACTTTGCCTTTGCATTAGCATCCTGACCTTTAGGCTTTGCGGTGGCCTTATTCCCTTTTCCCTCGGTTTCTCTAAGCATTGCTTCCCTAAAGTCACGCTCGTTGGCGTCTTCACGCAGCTCTGCGAGGTGATCTGAGAATTGCTCCCAGAGCCATCCGAACGTCCTCCTACGGGAAGTTGGGGAGGAATCCTTAACTTTGCCAATGATCCGTTGCATTCCCCTTGAACTCTTAATCTTAGCGTAAAACCACGAAAACAGGGTCGCGTCAGACGGCCAGTGCTCAGGGGCTATCCCATTCAGAATGTATTCGACTCTTTCCTTAAAAGTCAGCATCTGATTGTATGAGAATCCGTCCAACGTTACAGCCAACAATGTTTGCTGTGTGACCGTAGCACCTCTCACCCGATCTACGCGAAACCTGCGCGAAAGCATTGCTATCATCGCTCGACCAGATGGTAAAACTCCATGTGCATGCGCCCTCTCAATGTACGCCTGCACTTCAAGCCCGAACTCCCCTTTCATATACCTCGAATCCGAAATCTGCGATGCAAGGTACGAGTCTAACCGTGGGAGCAGATCAGGATTGTTCTGGAGTTGTGCAATCTCGCGGTTTGTCACCTCAGTTCTAATGCATACCTGCAGCCATCTAAGAATCCTGGCTTGACCCGTGCGATCAATGGCAGAGTCAGCAGCGCGTTGCGCCACGATCGGAAACCCACACTATCCTTTGGAAGCTGTGGCATCTTCAAGTCCTTAAGATCCTTATACTTATAAGTAGCTGCTTCATAGTCCTCTTCCTCATTTGCATCATGAGGCTGAGCATCAGCACCACCATCATAACCCCGATCATTGTTACCAGCGGCTCGCGGCTCAACAATGGGATCATCATCAACCTGTTCTTCTTCTTCACCCTCCTCGGGATCTCCTATGTTGAAGATCTCAGGCTCAGGAGGCGGTGGCGGGCCCGGAGGCCCAGCGATGGGTGTGATAGCGGGCGCAAAACCCACACCACCTTTACTAGTAGCCTGTCCCGCTAAAGGTCTTAGGCTAGAGAATGGTGTCGTGAACACAGGTGATGCATTCGTATTCGATGATGTTGTTGCCGACCTCTCACATGCATAAGCTGGTGGGCGATTGGCAAGTGATGATGAGGACCGTGCCCATGCATCAAAGAGATTCGTTGATGCTTGTCGCTCGCATGCATAAGGTGGGGGACTGGATAAGTACGGGGCTTTTGCAGCTTTGCCAAGTGGAATCCCCGAAACCGAATAATCCGAATCCTTCTTATGATCCCTGCGCCCCTTCGCCTTTGGTGAATTTCCGGCGGACGAGGACAACACAGCATCTTTAAGCTCATTCATGGTTTGTCCAACATGTGATGCCATGGCCTTAAGCGCTTCAGTAATCTCCGCGCCATTTTGGGTTTGGGGAATCTGAGGTACACTCGTATTCACAGCACCGGCCTTAACTTCCGCTACGATGCTTTGCAACGTCGCAATCTGACTGTAAAGCTCCTGCTGTTGACGAGCTAACATCTCGTTTTGTTGCTTCAAGCTAGCAATGGTCTCATTTGCGATAGCCAGTTGCCTCGAAGCTTCAACGGAAACCTCCGAAACCATAGCCTGCGCCTGTTGCTCAATGGCCTGAACCCGTGTTTGGGCTTGATTGCTCATGTTGGCGGCGATAGCCTGGACCTGATCCTGAGCTTGTTGTTGAACCTCGGAAGCATATGCTACTGCCTGGCTTTCAACAATCTGGGCTTGCGCCAATGCCTGGGAATGAACCTGAGGGTCAACCCCTTGTACAATGACACCCAACTGCTGATGCTTATGTAGATGAACCTCCTGTGTTGGTGGTCCAAGCGTCACTGGATTACCGGAAGGTGTTGGCATCTTAGGCTTTGCAACCTCGCACGCATACATGTGCTTTGGTTTTGGGGCAGCTCTGTTCCTATGGTAGGGACTAGAAGCCCTCGAAGGCCTATTTGAGGATGATGCAGCAACAATCCTACCCTCGGATGCGGTTCTACTCGCACTCCTGGGTGAGCTCTCGCTCCCGCTACTTTGTTTATTTGCGGTTACGACCGATAACCCGAATGACACATCCGGTGCCTGCACAGCAGCTGCCGCTTCGTCGGAGGCAGAAGTGGAAGAGATCTGCAGGGGATCCGTCTCCATCTCATGTGAAGACGCCATTGTTACCACTGTGGGTGGCAGGATGCCAACACCACAATGTTCGGTTTGCAATTGTTTTGGTTCTCGGGCCAATGGGAAACCACACAGGGTGCAGAACTAAGCAAAATGCCGCAGCACCAAACCAGTGAGGAAGGCGGAATGCCAATGCCACACACCCGAACGAATGAACCTTAAGACCCGAATCACAATCCAATGAATCCACCCCGGGTGCAGCACTAAGCAAAATGCCGCAGCACACAACGAAGAGGAAATTAGGACTGATAACGTGGCACCAGATTTTCTTTTAGTGAACGCCCTGATCAGTCAGAAGCTGGTGCAGATCTCGGCGCTCCCAGGCAGGCAAGTGGATACCGCGCCATCCATGTGCATTAAAGCGGTTGAAGTCTCGTACGATATCCTCCCGATCGTCAACATGTGTGATCGTTCGAAAAGACGCGCCGGAGCCATTAATCGCCGCCCAAAGTGCATTGGATTTTCCGTCTTTTCCGACGGCACGCGGTGTAAAGAGGCACAATACCGTGATGCCACGCGCCCGAGCCATTTGGTCAGTTTCCCTGAACGTGACCTCCTTAAAGCGCTGCGTTTCCGTCTTCGACAAGATTGCCATCAAAATATCAGGCCGGCTCGCGCACGAGGAGAAAACACGGGAAGTGACCTCAAGGCTCTTATCCGCCACACCATGCCAATCCAGCGTCAGAACGTGATCAGCAGCAGATCGCCTGTGGATCTCTGCGACTGCACCGTCGAGAGCAAAATGCTCAACCCAAATGGCGCCCGCTGCAGGAGCAGGATCAACGGAAGAAGCAGCTGCAGGAGCAGGATCAGTGGAAGAGGCAGCGGCAGAAGAATCCTGTTTGGCATTGTAATTCTCCCATTCCGATGTAGTCCAAGAATTAACCGAACCCTCAACAACCGGAACACTACGAGGAAGGAAAGACTCAGAAATTGTTGGGAATTCTCGGGTCAAATCTTCTCTCTCTAGGTCCTCGCGCGGTTGTGCGCGACGCTTCGGTCGGGTAACAATGTACCCGCCGGCAGACACGCCTCTAGTTTCACGGGGCGCCGGTGGAGGCATTGGAGTCCTAATACCTCCTACCTTTGGTCTAGGTGTTGGTGGGAATGGTGTCCTTACCCCGCCTACCTTAGGTCTTGGTGCAGGTGGAGTTGGAGGACTATCAGCCACGTCACGGATTGGAGACCTTGACCTCGGTGCGGGTGTCTCAAGAGAATCATCAATCAAGAGAGGAGCCGCCGAAGCAGACGATGCATTAAAATCCAAAGGAGGAGTAGCCGGTGCAGGTGGATCATCAACCAAAATGGGAGCCACAGCCGCCGCAGCAGACAATGCATTAACATCCGCAGGAGGAGTGTCAGGCTCGGGCACAGCGATATCAGGATAATCTTCAGGCCGACTAGGAAAAAGCGTTACACTCTGAGAGAAGACGAACTCAGGTGTGTCCACAATAGCAAGACGCTGTTCAACCACAATCAGCAGCTGCGAAGCTTCGTGAGACTCCAAAGAATGAAGGTGTCGCTGAAGGCCACGATACAGCTCTACAGCATTGGCCTTCCTTCTTCTATTCTTGTTCGCCCCACCGCCTTTCGTCGCAAGAAAAGCTTGAAGTCGCCCGCTGATCTCAGCGTCAGATGCAATAGTCGGCGCAAGATCCAAAATGCGCTGTGTAGTATCGTCCATCGGGACTTCTATTAGACCGATGGTACAACCCGAATGCCGTCAAAGTGGCTTTCAACCAACTTGCCCCCGTGCCGTTAGAATGGCTCTAAAAGTGAATGGATGTGTGTGCGAACTGCCTTAGCTTGACTTCACAGCCTTAACGGTTCCTCGGATGACTAATAACCGGAAAACCGTCACCAACCACACTAACAAGCAATCCGTCGGCTTCAAGCCAGCACAGAAGGGATGCACAAAGTCTTTGACGCCGAATCCTGAATCTTTGATTTCAGTGCTCGGGCAATGGTGTTTTGTTGATTGTTGCTCCTGTGGCGAGGTGCCAACAGGAGGGCAATAACCCGGTCAACCACAAGTCCTCAACCTAAAGGGAGAACCGCGGGACTGCAGGATGTGCCTTCGCTGTTGTTTGGGACGATGGCGGTGATAGGAAACCGTTTACAACCCTTCACAAAACCCGTCACACCACAAAGCCCTAGGCCTTCCTAAACCGTGAACGGGTCTCGGAAGAGGTGTATGGGTACTCGCCACAATCCTTGGTTGGATAATTTGCAAGTCCACTCAATTGCTCAAGCAGACACGAGTTGGGAATTCAGGCTTGGAGGTCAGGTTAAATTCACCGGTGGCGGGATGCCAGCGCGGTAATTCAGTGACGCCCTAACCTGTTGCAATGCAGCAGCCTCGACGCAGCAGGCGGAGGCAGGCGCAAACGCAACCTTTCAGTTATGGGTAGTATCTCGGGATTCCCCAATCGATATAGTCGTCTGCGTATCGGAATTGGGTTACCCTATGTATCTGATGCAATCGGTACAAGAAGAAGGATGTGCGATACCACGATTCAGTGGACCTGCGAACAATCCTTCGCCAGCGCGTTCTAGTCCTGTTCCACCTCCTACGATTCTGAAGGTAAGTGGGGAAGAACGTCTCAAGTACCCAAAGTCTTATCCTATAGTAAAGATCCACAAACCAGTCGTGCAGGGCTTCACACACAGTTGGATGCCCGTCTGCTCTGGGCATACACTGCAATTAAGGTGGTGCCTGAGGCCAGGGTGAGGGTCCACGAAGCGGAAACCACGGGACGGGTACCTCCTCAAGTCTAAGACTAAACCACCTGCGAAGTGTGAGAAGTTCTTGGACCCTTAGCCTGGCTTGCCTATAAACCCTTTTCCTTAGGGCCCTTGCAAGTCTGGTCCAAAGATTCACTGACGAGTGCACGTGTTCTCTGTCGCACGCGCAGTTGTTGTATGAATCTAACCCAGTGATTGAAGTGCGTAATGTTTGCAATATGGAACTCAACCCGGTGGCTTGGCTCTAGCTCTACACGGGGAGTGTCAGTACAAGGCAAGACAACGGCTGTGCCCTACGCAATGCGATTTCACTCTCAACACCAAAGGACGGTGGAGAAATATGGACGGCTATGGCTCAGGTAGAGGCTTTAGACTCTCCTAGCCACAACACAAACGATGTATCTCAAAGCTGAGGCTGTTAACCAGAAGAACACAAGAGACGCAAGTGTTCTAGCAAGGAACAGCAACAAGTACAGCAATCGCACTTGTTTTCCTTGAGCCAAATGTTCAGTTGATGAGTCTTCGTTCTGTCCTAACCTGACACTTGTAGTTACACTAGGAAACATGTCCGGGGTACGTGTTTTCTCAACTCAAGTTAGGCAGAACTGTACAGGCAAGTACCACGTCCAGGAGCCATAGTACACTCCACAGGCTCTTTGTTGGTTTCAAGCGCAAGTTCATGGCCTAATCTCTCTCCCCTCCCTGTCTCTCGTTCTTTTCCTCTCTCTCTCTGTCGCTCTCTCTCTGTCTCTCTCTCTCTCTCTCTCCTTCCGTGTGGTTCCCCCTGTCTGTCCGTCTGTTTGTCTGAGCTCTGTCTCCCTGCAGACATTGTCTTCGTTTGTGAATGCTTGCTTTTGAGTCCATAGCCGAGGACTCGGGCAAAAGAAAGTTGCTTGGTTCGTGCCAATGACCCTTGCATTGACTTGACTCCGAGTGCTGCATTCGGGTTCAGGGTCTGCGGTAGTGTGCCACAGCCCAAGGCACGCAACGGACCGCGCCAGCAGCGTCTGGAACACCTTGAAGCGTCCTCTCGCGATCTTGGCCGGCCCCTGAGAAGGTGAGTCTAGAGTTCAAGCCCTACGACGCTGGTCAAGGGTCGTTTCAGTTTGAAAGGTTTTGAAATGGCTTGGACTTGGGCTGCGGCTTGAGCAGTCTTGCTTCCAAATTTTGCGGCTTTGGGGTTCAATGACCACAAGGCTTGTTGGGGTTTCAACAGGTGGAGTCGCATGAGTTCTGGGCTATGGGTCCGGAAGCGCCGGAGCTTGCGACCTAAGGGATTTTAGGCCCGGGCACAAAGGTCAGACGGGCGCACCCCCTGTCTAATATTTGTGGAGTTTTCCATGTTAGAGACGGAAGCAGACGTTACACTCACAACCATATACCTACACAACACTGTGTACACACGTACACACGTGCAAACACAGACACCTGTCTTCTGCACTCCCTTAATTGCTAAACTTATATTCAGAAAGGATGTGTAAGTCTTACAACATTTTCGGAAATCAGACTCCGAGACGTGGGATGCGGTGGGCTGCTTCGTTGACATGGACCATCTGAAACAAACATCTGCGAAACACAGTGGCGCTTGCAAGTTACAAGTTCATGCCCAAGCTACGATGGAAAAGGTGGGATCAACCGTCGGATCAACCCGAAAACCTTGAGCCCATAACTATCCGCCTTGAGAAATGGACTACATTTTCTAGAAAGCATGTGATAAGTTCGCTGCCTTGAACTAGCCAAGCGGACGGCGCTTTAGTGATTTAACACCCGCGCCGTTCGTAAGCACGAACCATAGAGGAAAATTGGTGGGCTGGGTGATGATAAGTTTCCGAAGATGTACACTTCAGGCCACCCATTTGGTTTCAGGAAAGGGTGTCAGAAAACTGAAAACTTGGGTTCGAGGCTTTAAAAGGGTTCCGAAAGTGTTGATGTCCTCCAAACTCAGCTCAAGCTACTCCCTCACACTACACCCAAACGGTAAACCCCGAAGTGTGGCCTCCGCAGCCGAGCCTTCCAAGGCAGACTCGTTGGATCGGGCCTGCGCGAGCACGGCTAAGTATCTTGCGGCTGCTCTGAGGAATTCCGAGTATCAGCCAAGCCAGCAACGGAGAACATTTTTCGGGTTGGTGCCAGGGCCATGTTTTCATCAAGGCCAGGCTGACGCGCACATGGGTTTAGCGTTGAACGCCCTGTTGCCGAGAAGGTGTATATGGCTAAGATACAAAACCCTTCGCCTCGCTCGG